AAAAAAAAAAAAAAAAAAACGCTGGAGAAACTCATGGGGGTCTTAGAAGCTTAATCAAGAGAAAACTGGCCGGTCAGCTCTTCAACCCCCACCTTGAACTTGGGTTCCGCCGGCTGATCCATCAAGCCCTTGTAATCCTCACATGACAACAGTTGCAGCTGCAGCAAGGCTTGCGGCTACCGCGTGGCAACTACCTCACGGTGCTACTGAAATCCAGTGCAGGTATGTGCAGGTCTACAAGGGTCTTGGGGGGGTCGTCCTTGGCAATCACCTTGATGGCGCTGCAATCCACAGGGCCCGCGCATGCCCCACCTTTTGCACAGGAGGAGGTGTTCAGCACCAAGACAGCAGTTGGGCTGTCTGAAAACTTACACCAACCACGCCTGCTGCTGCCGCGGGGGCGGCAGGGGGGGTATCCGCAAGGGCCTCCTTGATCAGGGCGAGCTGGTCCGCTGGCAGCTCCTTCCAAAAGCATCATTCTCCTAAAACCTTGGGACACAGTGTAAGAAGTGATCTCTGAAAGGAACCCTCGTCCTTTAGAGCGGCCGCAATCTCGGCAGCGCTTTTGCCCTCAAGGGCAATCTTCGCGTTGGAGGATGCACCAGATCTGAGTGGCAGTGTCACGAGAAAGAAACTGAGCTTCTGTCCACAACCCTACATCACTGAGCACCAATTCGGGCCAAGCAGCCCCATGATGAACTGCGGAGCGCAGGATTCAGAATGCCTTTCACGCGTATTGAGCCTGGAAGCTGGCGACTTCGGACGTCTTAGAATGTTGGCCGCCGGCCTTTGATGTAAATTCAATCTGAACTGCAGCCCTAAGAATTGTCATGAGATCAAAATGGCAACATGTTCAGCTCTTTTCCCAGACTGGAAGCTTCATCCGTCCGAGAGCGGCACAGTCACAAACACCTTCAGTGGAAGTCCCATGCAAGTTGAAGAAGAGGGACAGCAAACGTCCCAGGCATGTCAGGGCAAGTCTGGCCACTCGGATGGCAGTTGGCCAGTCCAGGACTCTCAGTCTGTCGACATTCAAAGGATGCCGAGAGACTGCGCAATGCAAGGCCAGCCATCAGCCCTTTCAGCTCCGCTGACAGCTCCACTCACTTGGAGAGGATGCCCAGGGCCTTCTGGCCCATGAGGTCGC